CTGGTGGCAGTTGTGGTAGTGGTGGCTGTCATAGACCATTTGTTCAGTACCAGTGTCTGCAGCAACAGCAGGGGGTGCCAGGCTCACTGACGCTGTCAGTTGGGGGACTGGCTGGTGGGGCCTCAAACTTATAGATTAAGTTGGGGAGAATTCACATCTTTATTATACCAGCTCTTTTTCCCATCTAGGAACATGCTATGTCTCTCCATTTATTTATCTTTTGAGAAGGTGCTATAATTTTCACTTAGGCAGTATTCATTTTTTGCTAACTTTATTCCTAGATATTTTGTGGAGGTTTTTGTTGCTACTGTAAATGGGTCTTTTTTTCTCCTCATATTTTCTAACTGGTCTTTGCTAACTAGACTGGCATTTTTAGTATATTAATTTTGTAGAGTAATTGAACACTCCATAATAGTGAGTTGGAAAAAAAGAAATGGTCCTTTGGCTACTGAGAGGACCTCATTTAATCCCCAAAGCAGAAAAGTACAGGCCACATTCTCTAACCACATGGCAATAAAAATAAAAATTAACATAAAAGTTTAATGTAACAAGAACAAAATCCAAATTCTTAGGGGAAAAGAAGAAATGTTCTTAATCAACTCTTGCACAAAAAGAGAAAAACAGCACTATCATGGGCTAATTCCACCAACTAATTCTCCTGTGTCCTCTAGGCAAAAAGCAATATCATTTGCAGATAAATTTGTCTTACTATTTTATTTCCTTTCACAGTTATTAGTCTATTCAGGTATATTACTTTACTATCAATGTTGATATTTTATGTTTTAGTAAAATATTCATTTCATCATTTTTTTAAAGTTTTAGCAGCATAGTGTATACAATATAGTGTGATAATGTTTAACCTCCTTTATATCCCCTGTCTTTATAATGTCGCATGCTGTATTGTGGTCCCCTTTCTTCCCAGCTGTTCCAGAGGGTTTTTGTTTGTGTGTTTAATTTTTATTGCTGCAATTTATCAATTCTTCTGTGAAGTTTGTTGTTATTTTTTAATTAACCTTTACCTTCATTTTGTAATTTCCCTCCTCTTTTTTTTCTTCAAATTATTATGTTCTTCTTGTTCTAACTTCTTGAATTGAGAGCTGTGTTCATTATTTTCTCTGCAATAAACAGCAGGTTTACAGTAATATATTCACCTCTAAGCACAGTTTAGGCTTCATGCCATAAATTTTGATATGTACTATTTTCGTCATCATTACTTTCTAAATAGCCCATGACAGTGTTGGTTTTCTCTTTTTGCCCAAGAGCTGGTTGAGAACATCTCTTCTTTTCCCCTAAGAATTTGTACTTTGTTCTTGTCATATTAAACTTTGGAGTTAATTTTTATTTGTATTGCCAGATGGTTAGAGAATGTGGCCTGTACTGTTTCTACTTTGGGGATTAAATGATGTCCTCTCAGTAGCCAAGGACATTTTTAAAAATTCCGTAAGTATCTAAGAAGAATGTGTGTTCTTTGTAGGGTGGAGAGGCGAGGATGAGCTCAGGCTGTGCATTCACGCTGGATGGACTCTAATCTCAGCTCTCTGACTAGCAAGGTGACTTTCAGGCACAATACTTGACCTCTCTGAGCTTCAGTTTCCTCCTCTGCAGCATGCATAGAGTAAAAGTTCTACCTCCTAGAGTTATTGTTAGGAGTAAATGAGTTTTTCAATAGCTATTAAGTCAATCTTACTCAATTTTATTATTCAGATCCATTATATCGGTGATTCTCAATCAAATGATTTTTCCGTACCACCACCCCGTGTATACACACCCAACCAAGAGTGTAAATCAGGATCTCCTGGGGTCAGATGCTTTTTCAAAATCTCTTGATAGACAGATAGGGAGGGAGGGAAAGAGAGAGAGAGAGAAACAGACAGATATAAGTGTAGCTATAGATACAGAAGTATAAGTATAGGTATTGGACCTATAGGTAGAAAGAAAGAGATAGGTATACATTTAGGACCTATATATAAAAATAAGGATATAGATATAGGAATAGATACAGGTGTACACGACCAAAAGAAATAGAAAAAGAGAGAGAGAGAGATCTAGAGATGTGAATATCAATATACTCAGAGTCTCTTATTCCTTATTTGGAGAAACACTGATAATGAGCCACTGGTACTGATGGGAGTGAACTGTGTCCCTGTCCCTGAAGTGTGCGTGTTGGCACGGGCAGCTTAAGGACCACTACTCACCAATCTTCATTGTATTTTCCCCTTTGATATGTCAATGGTTGAGAATGTTGCATTAAAATATCTCCCACTACAATTGTTTTCTTGTGTTTCTAACAATTTTTATATCCATGTTTGCCTGACATGTCTTCCCTCATATTCTCCGAGAGTCTAAGATGAATTTTACATGTTTATTTACAAGCGAGGTATTTGGTCTGATATCTGTCATCTTGTTTTGTTCTTTCTGGGTTTCTGTTTGTGTTGTTCTGACTTTCCTTCCTCGCTTTTCCATTCATACCTGACCCACCTCTAATTTCCAAGCTTTTGTTGGTATATTTGGACGTTTATATTAATGTTATTAGTAATTATCTTTAAATGATGGACTTCTTCCCCAAGAACAAGTTTTTATGTTTACATTTAGTTTTGTTACCTCTTTAACAATAGTTATTTGGGGTTAACCATACTTTCCTGGTTATTTTTATATCTGCTAGTTCTTGAATTTCCTTCTTTAGTCTTTTTTTTTTTCAGTAGGGCTCAGAAGTGTAGTACTTTCTGTCACCTAATGTAAGACCCGTGCACTTTGCACAAATCGCACGCCAGGGGTGGCTCACTTCACAAAGACCACAAGACAAGAGACGCTGCAATCAGGCAAG